TAGCATATATGAAAAGAATCAGATTGAGCAAAAATACAAAACAGCTTTTAATAGTCACAAACATAAAGAAACAATTAGCAACCACGGAAAACAAGTAGAACATGGAATCAAAAATTCTCTGCATTCTTTTTGTATGTGATATATTTATCAAGAGAAAAAAAAATAAGAATTCTTTTTTTTTCCTTTTTTTTTTTATTACCAAGCAACGAAAAACCTTGTTAGTAGCATAAAATAGATGTAAAAAAACCGAAGCAGGGAGCGACACTGTGTTTGCTAATTACGTATTGGTTAACAAACGCTTTCGTTGAATAGCAACCAACCACAGCATTTACAACATCACTATCGACAACAGTAGTAGTTATGGCTTCTCGCATTCTCTTTTTAATATAATTTCACTATATCTTCATCGAAATAAACGTTTTTTTTCTTTACTTCTTCACTTTTATTGTTTTCATTGTATTGCATAGTTCATCGGTAAAAACGAAAATATTAAGATAAAAAATAATTTTGACGAAAGAACTTAAGCGATGGCTACATCTGCTAAACAGGGATACAATGGTTACAATTCATTTCTTGATAAATATCGTACCAATTTAAATACACCACGCGGGTAAGATATGAATACTGATATTCTTGTAAAATATTATCTTCTTAACAACACGATATCGACGACCGTCTACGAAGGAAAAAAAAGCCATATTTATATTTATTCAGCGAGGAAGAAAGATTAAGATAGTTTCTAAGTACTTATGTCATGATGGAAAGAAAGAAAACGAAAGTGTCTTTTTATGTTTCATTTTGTGAAATCTTTTATTAACTTGTTAAAAAGAAATGTCGGAGACCGCTGGTCAAACTTCACGATATACACCAAATACTTATCGAGAAAATAGTCCAAAACAATATCAGCAAAATACCAATGAATGGAAAACAAGAAAGTCACTAGATCGTATTGGTTATAATAATCAATATCAATCAAAATCTAGTTTTTTGGATAAATATCGTTCAAAAAAAGATTCAGATGATTCAGTAGCTAAAGATATAAATGACGGGTGATCATTATTTCTATTAATTTTTTTTTTGCATTATTCTCATATATTTAAGTGAATATTTCTTTTGTAACATTTTTTTCATTTTTTTTTCTCATTACACAGCACATCTACTTATGTGCCAAGGTAAGTGGTTGTCGAGCTTCGTCCATCATTCCGTTCATTCTTTTCTTTTTATGTTTTCTAACTTTGATTGCTTATTTAAAAAAACAAATTTATTTTTTCATTAAAAGAATGAAAAATGAGTACATTTTAAAGTTTTTCTGATTTAGCTGTTATCAATGTAATTCACCACGAAGGTAAAAATAAAGACATAGAAAAAAAAATCTATTAATCTAAAGATTCGTCTATTTCTCTAGTTTATAAATAAAATCTATCCAACTCTTCTTTGCTTTAGAATTAGTTTTTAATACATACCTGTAGTTACCTTTCTATTATAAAATTTAAAAAAAAAAGAATATTTTTATTTCACGTAAAATTTCAGTGACAATACGCAACAGCGAACACAAACCTACAGTAGTAATATTGATACGTCAACATTGCGTTCTACAGGCAATGTTATTCATGATGAACGATTTGGCAATGAAATTCTTGCTCGTGCTGGTCCAAGTCATCAGTATCAACATCCGCAATATCGTACTCACGAGGGTACATAAAAATTCATATCTATTCTTGTTTTTTTTATTAGATAATTTTTCTATTTAATATAGTTATTGCACCGGATGGTCGCTTGGAAAATTTAAATATACAAGCTGATAATGAACCACTACGTGTGGTAAAACCAACTGATCAAAATATTCATTATAAACAACAGGTTAACGTACGATTTTTGGAACCACCACCAGGTCCTGAACCAGCACCAATTATCATCAAGGTAAAAACTTAACTAATACAAATTAAAATTTTTTATTTTGAATATCTGGATAAATTTAGGAACGTCAAGCACCAGCACCACCTCCTCTGCCACCAGTGGTTGTTCGACAGCGTCCACCAACACCACCAACACCTCGTCCTCTTATTATTCGTAAGTTGTTTCTATTATTTTTTGTTTTAGTTTTATTTTATCTTGTTTTATTTTTTTCGAAATTAGGTGAACGTCCACCAACACCACCAGTACAACAACAACCGCAAATTATTGAAAAAGTTTTACCACCACCTCCAGCTCCACCTCGGCAAGTTATTGTTGAACGGCTTCCACCACCACCACCAAAACCACGTCAGGTGATTTATGAAAAATGGTTACCTTATCAAGAAACCAAGGAACGACCGGTTATTGTTGAACGAGCACCACCTCTAGAAATGTAAGTAGAGATAGGACATTAATACACTTTATCATTTATTTTTGTTGTTTTTTTTTCTTCAAATAATCAAATTACAGACTTCGACCACCGAAAAATGTTATTATTGAATATGAACAACCAAAAGCTCATCACGAACAAATTGTTATTGATGAAGGTGTTTTTCGTGCTGATCCTCGATCGCATAATGCTACAAGTACTATAGGGTAAGAAAAAAGAATCAATAAAAATCTTATGTTTTAATATTTTTTTTTTGTGTACTTTATAGTGAAGTACGTATTGTCGATAAAATAACTGATCTGCCAATGGATTATTCAAAATATTTATCAAATCGTCGTCCTCAAACGGTTCAATCTCACTCAGTATCAAGTCCACATCTTTATGAACGACAACCATCACCTCCACCACAGCTGAGTCAAACCGAACCGGCACAACAATATCGTTCAACAACTTACAATTATCCAGGTTTGTTTCTTTCGAAGATCTATATAAATACTTATCTATCAAATAATATATTTTAGGAGCTTATACAACAACCTATCGTGCATCATATACAAATCAAAATGCCACTCGAAGTGGTTATGGTCAATATGATAGTACCAATGGAAGTCGATCGGCATCCTACACAAAATATGTTTAGAAAAAGAAAAATGAACAATAGTTAGTTAAGAGACATAAAGATATGCTATCTATAAACGATCTTATTGTATCTACATACAAAAAACCATGATAATGATAGCATATCCAGAAGAAAGCGATTATTTTCTTTTGTCATTTTTCTTTCATTTCTCTTCTTATACTTCTCTTAATCTTCGTTTCTAACTTAATATTTTATCTATTTGTAAGAAACAAACAAACAAACAAAAAAATTAGCTTTTCCCGAGTTGTTTATTTTTTTTTAATTATCATTTATTTGAAGTGATTTTGTCGATCAGAATTTCTAGGTATTCATATCAATGTTGTTTACAACTCATTGTGTTCGTTGCGTCTATAGTTCTAATGTAGAATGAAACATTGTCGATCTACAAAAATACAATTATGTTTACGATAGAATTTCTACTGAAATATGACGAATATTAAATTGTTGCAATCATTTATGTCGATCATCTTATGTTTTTTTCAGCTTAATGCAATATAGATAGCAAATTTGTTGAGAGTAAAGTGAAGGATTGGACAATTAAAATCTTAAAGAGCGGTAGATAGGTTATAAATAATGCAATAAATCTGCCCATTTCTTTCTTTTTTTCTTCTCAAAACGACATAGGCAGATAATGACATACAAAATGAATCTAGTATACCATTCATAGTTGTTGTCTTTTCGAAAAAGATTGAATTTATTATTTAGTTCATTGTGTGTTTCTTTTTAATCGATTACATTGATTCTATTATGTATTGGTAAATATATTTTAAATTGATATGATAGTTTATATCTAATAGACTTTCAAATCAGAAACCGACAATTCTTCAAGAGAGAAAAAAAAGGTGAATTTTTGATTGCTAGAATTGCTTGTGATTATCAATAATTGTCTTGATTATAATTAACTTTTTCCCCTTACGGTTCCTACAGATTACACATATACAAATATATTGCAAAATTTTTCACATTTGTTTTTAAACATTGTTAGATTTTTCATAATTTGTCGATCAATTTATAAATAATATTATTTCTATATTACTAAGACAGATGCTTGTTGAATTCTAGAATAGAAATATTTTATTTGTCGATTATTATGCGTAATGTGATTGTATCTTATGCGTAGATTGTTCTTGTTTGAATTATTTTTACTGCATACAGTTTGATGAATATTCAAAGAGTTCAAAAGATTTTGAAAGAACTAAATTCATTGTCACATGTTGCAATAGAGACAAGAATCTATTTATTTATGTCGTTATTTGTCCTCTCAGTGATATCAACAGATTATACCAACTGATATTTGAATGAAATAAATACTATAGAGATCCCTACGATAATGTTTGGGGAAAACATTATGGATTTTGATCATTGCTTTAAATATACAATGGTTGTCAAAATTATCTCACCAATAGATAATTTTATTATATTTTGTGTATATCCCAAAAATTCGATGAATTACAAATATCTGATTTTCCTCAGATTACAATTCATTGTCTCTAGTATATTAGTGAAAAATTCTAGGTCACTCCATTGACCTACTTAATTTTTATTGATGATACAATCGTAGTATGTCGTTTTTCATCGTTCGAAAATCATCCAATCACTTTTTTTTTACAAATTGGTGCGCACCTATTCTAAGTTCAAGTTTTCTTTATAATACATATTTGATTGACGTTTCTCGTTGTTTGTTAATTTTATAGAATATGTTAAAACTTTTAGTATGCCAAAATATCAAAAACAGATTCAGCTGATGAGATGATTGATGGTGTTCGAAAAGTTAAACAATTTTATAACATACATTTATTCAAAAGTTTCTTGAAGATATGATGTAGAAATACATAAAACACATAATAATTATAAAATGAAACAAATCAAGGTTTTGAGATGCTGTTATGTTAGTACTATATGAAAGAAAAAAAAGATTTTACACATCTCATCTTTTTCTCCTTCACTTTACTAAAGTTCAACACTTCTCAAACTTCTTTGCTTGATTGGCTGCAATATCTGAATACATCATTGGTATTATCGTATTTTGCAAGTCGTACAATAATATTCATTACGTGTTACTCGATTTACTATTCCTCGACCATCAACATATGCTGGATACGTATTATCTTGATGATGTGGTCGCCTATCTATAAAACACATGTTTTAAATAAAAGTATGTCAATAAATACATAAAAAAGTCTTTCGTAATAAAAATCTTACCGGAACATACACAACATTGTCTAGTAGAAACCAGATCACATCGATGGCCACATCCTTTCTGATGACCTGTAACTTGATTTATTTGTAATGCTGTTAAGTTTGTTCGAATTTCTTCGATTGGTAATGCCTGATTTCTTGTTGGAACTCGCACTCTTCGTGAAGATTCATTGACAATTTCACGATTAAGTTCAGCTTGTACTTGATGAGCATAGATCTCATCACGTTTGATCATTGCTGAAGCATTGTTTTCTTCATGACTAATAACTGGTACTGGTGAACATTTAACAGTTGACCAATCGATAGTATTTTTAATTAGTTGAAATAAACGTGAAGCCTCTTCAAGATTGTACGATACATGATATTGATCTTCTTTCTTCAATGGATGCCGACAAATAGGACCTTCAAATAGACAAACTATTGATAAGTGAAAGAAATTTTTTTTTTTTTATACATACAATGTTGTAGGCGTTTAGGACCAATAGTATGATCAATACATGTTGAATGACCACAAACAAATGTCGTTGGTCTATGTATTAATGAATAATCTTCGAAACAAATTGGACATCGACTCCATTCATCATTCATTGTTTTTGTATGAATTTTAAAAGTAAGCAAAGTATAAATATGAAAGTAGTTATTTTTCTGTTGACGTCACTTCGATCGCTGTAATAAAGAATGACATGCACGATGAGTAGACGCAAGAATTCAATGACTCATTGCTTTACCTTTTTGGCGTTTTCCTATGACGTGTAGAATGATGAAATTAGTTGAATTGTGTAATACCTTGTGACAAAAGGAATTGTTTTAAGATATTTTAAGAAAAGAAATAAAATGGGTTGGGATAAATCTATGCGGCAGATTGTTCGGAAAAATAGGAAATCCAGGAGTTGTAGAAGCGTATTTAAGAGAATATTAAATGTAGTGCTGAACTATATTGCTTTTAAATAATAGAAAGACATGGAGAATCCAGAAAGAAATCGTCTTACGTCGTTGTCTAGGATGCAGAATTAGCATTTTCAACTGCGAATTTTTGAAAGGAATTCTAGATAGTTAATTATGATCGCAGTAAACGGCTATAACCACTCGAAAATTTATCATATCTTGTGATTAATGATTCATGTTAATACATGAACAGAGATTCTATTTAGTTTGTTGTCGTGCTGAACAGACATTGAAAACATTTATTGTCAAACAAGGTCGCTGAATTATTGTTTTAAGCTCTAACGATTTCAAAAGTTGTTTTATGTGAATCAATATATCGACGTTTTTCTGAATGTATAAAGACTCGAAACATTTCTTGATACCATCATTGTGCTATTTACTCTTTGTATATACCTACTTACTCTTTCACAACCAAATCATGGAATAAATGATACAAATATAAATTCGATATATATACCTAGTTTTCAAATTAATACGGAAAAGTTTATGTACTACTAAATGAAATAATATTCCATCATTCCATTAGTAATACCCGTATTTTGAACTCTTGACATTGTCTAACTAGACACACGCATGAGTCTTTTCAGAGCTAGAACTTGAGAGTTTTTTGTATTTGGTTCGGTCTGGCTAGCAATGGGTGAAACTGATGAAAATCCGGTAAAACCAAACGAACACAAAGAAATTTGTTCCCGTATATAGTGAAGAACCTGTGTTTTTGATATTCGTCCGTAAAAATTTGACATACCAAGGTATTAATGAAAGAACGAAACAATCATCGTCATCTAATATCGCAGGATTCTCGAGTTTTCAAGGCGGATACGAAAACAGATGAGCAGATTGTCGCAACAACAGAAGGAAAGCATCTGGTTCATAAATTTGAGGTTGGATATGAGGAATAGCAGAGCAGTATGAGAAAAAAGTAAGAAAAATAAAAACAACTGTATTTTAACCATTTTTTATAAACAATCCAACATCAAAATCTTCAACGTTATTTTCTATATCACTAATAAGAGCATGTTGATTGAAACAAAATAACATCGATGAACTTCAAAAAGGATTCCAATAAATTATATAGTAAATATGAAAGAATAATTCTTATTATTTTTTTAAACCTTATGTCACATTAGCAAATGCCATTTCTGATGATAAATTTTTTTCGTTAATTTCAACTTTACTAACATTTGGAAAATTTGATATAAGAATATGAATATAAGCATGACTTTGTCTTATGCCATTTAATGATTGTCGATTTTACGTTTTCAACACGTATAATCACAGAAAACCGATGGTAAATTCGTTAGTTGTGTGAACAGTTTCCAATCGGTTAACTAGCAGTTTTTTCACGATTTGAATCATATTGGTATATTTCTAGAACATAAAATATAACACTTGGTGACATCTGCTGAAGTTTTTACTATAGAGTATGACTTCAAGAAAGTGATTGGTATCATTTTTATCGCAGCTTGACGACGAAGAGAACGATTTGACAGTAGTACGTATAGGACATGAAAACTTTCATTAATATTATAAAAATTAAACAAAAACAAAAGTCCTTAGTACTTTTAATTCTGATGAATAATCACCGTTTGACATTCCACGAGACATGAATGAGAAAGATGGAATATATTTATTTTTGAAAATATTGCAAATACAGAACGCATTTCTCATTTGATTTACCTATCGTCTCGACATAATAGAATTCTAAATACTGCACATTCTTATAGATGAATTGTGTTTCATGTTCATTCCTTCTTTTGTCT